CACCATGAGCAGTCTTCTTCCGGACAACATGTTTCTCGCTCTTTTGTACTGTTCTTTCCTCCTAGCGTTCCTATTAGCCATGCTATACCTTCGTCTTTCGCCTCGCAGAGGTGCGGGCAAAATCTGCAGTATCGCCCTTCTCTCTGCATCACCCCTGCCAGATGATTCCGACCCAGACTCGCTCTGACTTGGAATCGCATCATCACTTCGCACATGCGTTGGACTCGCCCGTGCTGTGGAAAGCTCCTCCGAAGAATAGTCGGTGGCAACCAAGTTCGTAATAATGGAGCTAGCGCGAAGCAAAGGTCCACTGGAATAGGACCGTTGTCCTGACGAGTAATCAGTGGCCACCAACCGCTCACTCTCGTCATCAGACGATGCGTAAGAAACACCCATTGGCATGCAACTGCTGTGCGTCGAAGCTGTGGGGTGCACCTCGCCAGAAATGTGGAACTCTATCCGGGAGGTAGACGGTTCTTCGGCCGCGGACATTGTTGCCAATTCTGTGGGCAGTTGGATGCAACCTCCAAAGCTCTCACGAAAATCGAGATTTCATTTTCTGGGGAAATCCGCAGCTGACTGTTGGAACGGCGAACTGTTCGAAGAGGTCGTCGGGGCCAACTCCAGGTGTTGTAGCTGGCAATGCATGTCGACGGCTTGTTCAGTTTCCATAGCCCGGTTCATGCGGCCGTTCGCCGAGCCTTCTTCGGCGCCGTCATGCAACCGTCGGTGCAGCGGATGCAATTCCCGTCAGCGCGATGGATTATTCCCTCTTGTGCGGGTCGAACGGGTCGTTCGAATTCGTATCCACACCCTGCAAAACAGCGGAGCAAACTGTAAGCACGGTCAGATTTATGCGTTGAGGGCACAAAGTTCGCCGGGATCCGAATTTGGCGGGTGCCGGAGTAGCAAGGAACCTGTTTTCGCGTGGCTTGTGTCAGTGGAAGGTAGCGCCAGTGGGTGCACACAAGGAACGCTATGTTTGGGCGAACAGAAGGAAGGCTCTGTTGTCGGTGGACGATAGGACGCGCAGAACAAAGGGAAGTGGTGGATGCACCACCACATAATTCGGCGTAGCGCGACCCCAAACAGACCCCTGTAAACACCGATTCTCACCATCGTCTAAGCGAGCTTGTGCGGTGCTCCATTCGCTGGCACTAGTGCAATAGCGACCCCCGATTCGCACGCCGGGAACGTCGACGTGCGACAACGCGAACCAGACAGCACGCAGAAACACAAGCATGTCTGCGTCAAGACTCCGCAGACCATGACGGTGAAAACCCTTGGGGGGGCAGAAAAGATCGTGGGTGCGAAAAATTGCTCGCCTTCTGAAATGCCCTTGAAGGGGTTTATGGGGGTTGCCGACGGTGACAACGGTCGTGTCCCTTACTTTCGGCAACCCCCATGAACCCCTTCAAGGGCATTTCAGAGGGCGAGCAATTTCTCGCACCCGCAGTCCTCTCGCAATCAACTCACAGTCGAAGCTCCAGGCGCCATGCGGAGGACGGATAGATTTGCGCCGATCCTCAAAGTCCGCCAGGATCCGAACTTGACGGATTTACCTGCAGCGAGTAACAGGTTTTTTCGCGGCTGCAGGTATTGGAACGGGTGGATGGCGTTTGCACAGAAGCAGGCGATGCTCGGCCGCACCGCATTTTGGGGCGTCGATGAACGAAGATCCACGGCACACCGGAAATGCACCCGGCCAGTGACACCGTTGTCAACCCCAATAAACCCCTTTCAGGGCAACTCACAAGGCGATAACTTTTCCGCACTACCAGGCCGCCGGCATTGAAGACGGACTGGGCAGTCCAAGCTGTTGAAAATAACGGTCAGATTTACGGGGAGCCTCTAAGTTCGCCGGGATCCGAATTTGGGGGGTGTAGGAGTAGCAAGGAACCTGTTTTCGCGCGGCTTGTGTCAGTGTAAGGTAGCGTCAGTGGGTGCACACAAGGAACGCTATGTTTGGGCGAACAGAAGGAAGGCTCTGTTGTCGGTGAACGATAGCACGCGTAGAACAAAGGGTAGTGGTGCATGCACTACCACACAATTCGGCGCAGCGTGACCCCAAACTAACCCCCATAAACTCGATTCTCACCATCGTCTAAGCGAGCTCGTGCAGTTTTCCATTCACAGGTACTAGCGCAAGAGCTTATCGAACTCAGACATCCCCACTGCGTAGACAAGAAAAATGTAGAAAAGGATGAAAGATCCCCCCTTCAACCCTTCCAAACATTGATTCGGCCAGTCTAGAAGGCAACCCCCGATTTTGCGACAAGACTCTGCACACCACGACGGTCAAAAACCTAGGGGGGCAACAAAGATCGTGGGCGCGAAAAATTGCTCGCCTTCATAAATCCCCTCGAAGGGGTTAATGTGGGTTGCCGACGGTGACAACGGCCGTGTCCCTTATTTTCGGCAACCCCCATGAACCCCTTGAAGGGCATTTCAGAGGGCGAGCAATTTCTCGCACCAACAGTCCTCTCGCAATCAACTCAGACTCGGAGCTCCAAGCGCCACGCAAAGGACGAACAGATTCACCTCGATCATCAAAGTCTGCCAGGATCCGAACTTGGTGGATTCGCCTGCATTCATGACGGGTGGATGGCGTTTGCACAGAAGCAGGCGTTGCTCGGGCGCACCGCAATTTGGGGCCCCGATGAACGAAGATCCACGGCACACCGGAAATGGAGCCGGCCAGCGACACCGTCGTCAACCCCAATAAACCCCGTTTAGGGCAACTTACAAGGCGAGCAATTTTGCGCAATACCAGGCCGCCGGCATTGAAGACGGACGGAGAAGTCCAAGCCGTCGAAAACAACGGGCAGATTCATGCGGCGCCTCGAAGTCCTCCGGGATCCGAATTTGGCCGGTGCGGGAGTAGCAAGGAACCTGTTTTTGCGCGACCGGTGTTAGTGGAACGAAGCGCCAGCGGGTGCACACAAGGAACGCTATCCTCGGCCGCACAGAAGGAAGGCTCTACAGCTCTCAAGCTGTCGTTGAACGTCAGCACGCGCAGAGCAAAGGGCAGCGGTGGATGCACCACCACAAAATCGGGCGGAGCGCGACCCCAAACTAACCCGTAGCGCAAGAGTTCATCGAGATCGGACATCCCAACCGCGCAGACAAGAAATATGTAGAAACTGATGAAAGACCCCCCCTGCAACCCTTCCAAACCCCGATTCGGCCAGTCGACAAGGCGACCCCCGATTCGTGCGCCGGTAACCTCGACGTGCGAAAGCGCGAACCGGAAACCAGGCAGAAACACGAGTATGTGTGCGACAAGAATCCGCGCACCAGGACGGTCAAAACCCTCTGGGGGCAACAAAGATTGACGGCACACAGACAAGGGACACGGCCGCTATCACCGTCGGCAACCCCCACAAACCCCTCGAAGGGCATCTCAGAAGGTGAGCAATTTTTCGCACCCACAGTCCTCGCGCAATCAACTCACACTTGAAGCTCCAGGCCTCATGCGAGCACTTTTGCGTGCCCGGAGGCCTCTGGTAATCAGAACGCACTCGACAGTCGTGGCCGTCGAAAACGGCAGTTAAATTTACGCGGGACCTCAAAGTCCGCCGGGATCCGAACTTGGCGCTTTTGGACTGGCCAGGAACCGGTTTGCGCGGGGGATGACGGATATTTGGATGACAGGTGTGGAATTGCACAGAAGGAACGCTAGGCTTGGCTGCATGTTCAGGGAGGCCCTGCTGCTGCTCACAAGTGTTTGTTCCAACAGAGCACGCAGAACAGAAATGGTCGTCGCAGGTGCACCACGTCGGAAATTGGCGCAACGCGGCCCCCAATAGACCCCCATGGACCCCGATTCCCCTCATCGACAAAGCGAACAGTCATGCAACCAAAGCGTCTTATTTCAGCGACGCGGTCGAAACAACAATAATCATCCGAGCAGCCCGCGACTTCGCATGCTTCAGATTGCAAGTCCGCCGGGATCCGAACTTCGTCGCACGCTGAAAACTGGCATGGCGTTACGAACTATCGACCCCACGCCCGAAAGGTGGGAACTGTGTCCTGCAAAACGTAGTCATCAGGGCGACCCGGGATGGCATTGTGACTGCGAACGCGAAACCAACAACCGCCAAAAAAATGGGAACTTCGGATCCCGGCGAACTACAGCAATCATGCGCTATTTTCGCACCTGCGCATGCTCTCCCTGCGGCCGAGCGACCACAACAGATTGCTGCTTTCGCGAGAGCACTGCGCATGATTGATTTAGTTCGCCGGGATCCGAACTTCCCATCTCGCCAGGCAAACACACGCCACGCACCGTTTTTCGTTTGACTGTTGTTGGTTTCGAGCTTGCGGTGATAATGGCGACCCCCCTTGCCCCGATGATTGAGACGTTTCCCGGAGGCGGCCGGATTGTTCGTTACTGAACGAGGACATGTTTCGTGTCGAGGTTGTCGTCACGAAACATGCGGCGCTCACGCCGAAGAAACGTCATCGTCATTGCAGCGAGCGGCGCAGGCGTTCTCCATCGCGCAACGTGTGCGTTCTTCGTTCTGGAGCCCGCGGATGTTGCGCGCACAGTCCTGGCATTTGTCGTGCGGAATACGATATCGCATCCCTCACGACCAGCGCCAGGAGCGCGCGCTCAACATTCATGGCCTCTATGGTGGATCATGTGCACGTCGTGTGCGCGGGATGGAGACGACAACAACTCTCCCGGGATTGACGCCATAGTCTCTTCGGGGAGGGAGGCTCAAGTGTTGCGGCGAGAACACGAACACGGAACGACGACCCCCTCCTGTTTATGAATACCTTACCTCTCACTGCACGCCACGTGGACGGCGGACATCCTTCCCACCGTGGCCACCGCGCGACGCTTAGTACCAACAGCGGTCGCRYRCAGCCCATSCGTCTCCTTTGTGATAACCAACCTCTAATCTCTTTGTTGAGAACAGCAAACGAGCGAGGGAAGTGTTTCGAAGGGGTTTCGTGTTCCGCTGGGAATAGSCGATTTCGTGTTTGCYTCGACCRCRCGGGAGTGGTTTGCAATKYCCAGCTTGTGATCAACGRCAGTTTTTCTTCAATGCCAAGCCAAACAAGAGTCGTGGGGGCGGTCGCGTGGAATGAATGAGAGAGAAGCAGAACGGGACACGCAAACCGTGTGCCCCGATGTCCACGTCATCTGTTCCCGTCGTCCCAGCCACTTGCGACACGTGGCACGACATGAGGACAATGATGACGACGGTGATGAACACGATGATAGTGACAATTACGGTGGTGATGTTGATCTGGGCGACGATGTCGCTGACGATAATGATGATGTTGATGACGATGATGATGTCGATAATGATGTTCGTGATGATGATGATTGTGATGACGACGATGATGATGATGACGATGATGATGACGATGATGACGATGTTGATGATGGCGATGACAACGAAGAGGACGATGGTGGTGATTTCGATGACGGCGATGATGTCGCTGATGATGATGATGTTGTTGATGACGTTGATGATGTTGATGATGATGTCGATGATGATGACGATGTTGATGACGKTGACGAGGTTGATGATGATGTTGTTGATGATGATGATGATGTTGATGAAGAWGATGATGATCACGATGACAATGATGGTGATGATGATGATGATGATGAAGATGATGACGCTGATGGTGGTGGCGACGATGATGGTGATGATGGGGGCGATGATGATGATGATGATGGCAAGCAAGAATCACGGGGCCGCTCACGACTTGAAACAAGTGGCGCGACGCGGCCGCTCCCATGGGCCGGCAAACATGCCTGACACGAGGGCAGGCAGAACAACACTTTACCTTGAAGAGGGCACAACGCACACGATGGCGCTTCTCTTTGACGGCTCACAGTTCTTCGAGGAGGCGCAGTTCTTCGACGACGGCGAAGCGCACATGATGGCGCAACTGTTCAACACGGGCTCAGCGCAAACGGCGTTGGCCACTTGCTGACACAGGACGCAGAGACGAGATGTCGAAGCGGAGACAACCGAACCACAGACGACAGTTGTCGACGAGAGGAAGCCCCTGCGCCCACGCTTGCCGCCGCCTGGCGCAACAGCGGAGCAGAAAAGGCGATGGAGGATGTCGTTGACGGGACGCCGAGCGCGAATGTGCTCGTCAGGCTCGAGATGCGAAAGGGCTGCCCCAGACCCGAGGCAGCTGAGCGTCAGACTGTCGTCGCACCCCATGGAAAGACCCACCTGTGTCCCCCCGCATGGCCACAGACCCCGCTCGCCAGCCAGGATACGCGAATTGCCGCGAACCCCTCCAACCTCCCCTTTCCCCCAGCCCCCCGCCCCCCTCCCCCCTCCCGCGGTTCTCCCCCCTCACCCGTGGAAAGTACAAACTGCCCCCCGCCGACACCTGAGACCCCCTCCACCGGGGCCCGCAAACCCGAAGACACGAACGCAAGGGGCCCGGAACAAGGGCCTGTTTTCCAATGACGTCCGGGAAGGGCCAGCTCGTAGGGACGTTTTTGTCACATTTCGACGCACCAGGCCCCCCTCGCGACAATTTCGACGTGCAGCCACCGTTCGATGCGCAGATCGAACAGACTAGAGTCAGCACGCGGACCCTGCACGGAAATCCCAAACGGAAGGCCCGAGGGGGCCTCGTGTCCCGCGCGCCTACAAATACGAGCGGCGCCCTGGGCATTGACGATGCGTTTTGCGGTTTTTGTTAGGGAGATGCTGCCCGACGGAAGCCACGCACCGCCACTCTCGTCAACAGCTGGCGCGCCATAGCTGGCACAACCATTCTTCACCGCGCACGTTTCGTGGCACCGACGCACCCCACATGCCCTCGCATGCCCCTCCGCCTACCAAGTCGCTGTCCACGTCATATTCGACGTCGTTCCCGATCTCCTTTTTCGAAAGGCGCGACCGCCACCCCACGCAGCACCCCAGCAAACGCGAAGTGCACGCCCAAAGGTGGACAGAGTGCCGTCACGACAAACGCGGGGGTTCGCGCTCGTCTTCACTCGGCAGTTCCACACGGTGAGTGCGCACACAGTCGGGATGTATTTTTGCATGTGCGCGCGTGCGGGGGAGGTTTTTGGTGACGATATGCTCGCGCAGATCGAAAGATTTCGTGGCTGCATTACTGCGGGTGGGCGTGTGTGTGTGTGTGTGTTTGTGTGTGATTGTGTGTTTGTGCATTGTGTGTGTGTGTGTGTTCGAGTGCGTGTCCCTTTGTGTTTGTGTCTATATTGAAGTGTGAGCCACACGCGCGAGGCAGGATCGTGCGCGCGTCTGTACCTGAGGGCCGTGTGTGTGCGGGCGCCGTGTGTCGGCGCGTGTGTGTGTGTGTGTGTGTGTGCGTGTGTGTGCCTGTCTGTGCATATGTGTTCGCGCGCGTTTTCCACGGGGAGATGCGCACGAACGTGCGCAGTCAGGGACGAATGTCATGGTTCACCCTTCGATTCCGCTTGTGTGTGGATGTGTGAGGATGTGTGAGGAGAGTATCAACAAACGATTGCGCTCGTGTTGTACTCAAGTGGCGAAGCAAGAAAGCTCGGATCGAACACGGGGCGGCCAATAACGAAACACAACGTCATCGTGAGCACTTGCGATACCCGATCTGCCCCAATGGATGATCAATCGAAACACGCAGTGGCAATGTCGACACAGCTCGGATCGAACAAGCGGCGGTTTTGTGTGCTGTCCCAATGTCATGTCCGCCGATCTGTCCAATGGCGGCTTTGTGTGCTGTCCCAATGTCATGTCTGCCGATCTGCCCAATGGATGATCAATCGAAACACGCGGTGGCAATGTCGACACAGCTAACGCATCCATCGACCAATCGCGAAACACGATTAGATCACTCGCGATCGGATGATTGGTCGTGTCTGCCGTGTCGACGCTACCACTGCGTGTGTGTTGTTCTTTCTGTCGTGTGTGTTCAGATCACTCGTGATCTGATGGTCGATCAGATCCATGACAATATGTACACCACACACGTGATGAACCAACCCATCACGAAACGCAAGCCGACCACTCGCGATCGGGTGATAGATGTTGTTTGCCTCCCCAACAACAACGCCGCTGATCTGCCCGACGGATGATTAACCAATGCAGGAGGCGACAACGCATCCAACCGACCAATCGCGAAACGACAGAAGATTACTTGCGATCGGATGATTGATCGTGTATGTTGCACCGAAGATCAACCCGCCGGCGAGCGACCTGTTTATTTACCCACCTGACAGTCCTCGACCGAACCGTCGATCGGCCAGGAAATCTGCCAGGATCAACTGATTGGTCGACAGCTCGGTTGGCGATTGCTCTGCTGGTTGATCAACCACCACACCAACCGCCAACCGAGCAGCCGATCGACTGTTCTGTGCTAATTGATCGTGGAGAACGATCGCGGAGAATCCTCAAGGCAAATGATCATGTGCACGGTCGAAACCGGCGAACGAAACGCACAACCAATCGGAAAAACGTCGATCCCGATCTTCGAACGAATAAAAAACACTTCGTCACAATTTTGTTGCACATCGAACCTCGTATAACATCGAACCATGTTGTCCACGGAACCTGGCTCCACATCAAACCTCGGCTGGCGTCGAACCTCGTCGGACGTCGAACTTTGAGCACCCACCACCCCACGCGTCGCCGGCACTGTTCTCCTGATCGGAACGTGGCCGTTCCAACCGAACTGATCGCGCAATCAAACACCGGAAGAAGTTGGGATCCCGGCGAGCTTGTGCAGCTGTTCGAACACGCTTCTCAACCCCGGTGCGCAACCACAGCCAGGGACGTGGAAAATTAGAAGTCCGYCGGGATCSRAACTTCAARAAATTGCTGGACGGCGAGTTTGGCAGACACGTGTGCATCTCCCACGCAATTTCGCCAAGTTCGGATCCCGGCGAACTTCATGYAGCTGTTCGAACRCGCTTSGCAACCCCGGTCCCCAACCACAGCCCGGGACGTGTAAAAATTMGAAGTCCGCCGGGATCCGAACTTGAAGAAATTGCTGGACGGCSAGTTCRGCAGACAGGTGTATGTCTCCCACGCAATTTCGCCAAGTCCGGATCCCGGCGAACTTCATGCAGCTGTATGTCTCCCTCGCAACCCAGGTCCGCAACCACAGCYTGGGACGTGGAAAAATATGAAGTCCGCCGGGATCCGAACTTCAAGAAATTCGCAGGACGGCGAGTTTGGCAGACAGGYGTGTATCTCCCACGTAATTTCTCAAAGTTCGGATCCCGGCCAACTACAGGTTCCTGCTGGCCTGCGGATCCAAACCTCGCTCGCACTATTCCTTGCACACTCGTCGAGTCCGGACCTCGTCGAACCTCGGATCCGTGATAATGCGAAGTCCGCCGGGATCCGGACTTCTACTGCACGATTCCTCGCACAGACGTCAAGTTCGCACCCCGGGGACTTCGCTTGTCTCAATGTGCGGGTTCAGAACGCGGGTTTCTAGCTCCCGGGTTTTGGCACAACTTTGTATTTGAAAAAATGTGTAGCCCGCCGGTTGATTCTCTCCCACGCGGTCTCGAGAAGTTCGGATCCCGACGAACACCCTCCGTGGATCCGGACATCGCGTGGCAAGTTCGGACCCCGGCGAACTTCGCGTCGCGCATGGTGTGGGTACTGACTGTGTCCTTTCTCGCGAACGGGTGTTTGCCACAACTTTTGTTTCGAAAAAATGCGAAGTCCGCCGGGATCCGTACTTCTCGTGCAAAGGTTCCTCGTCCCATCGTCGGGTTCGCCTGCTGGGCCGTGGATCCGAACCTGCTGTCTTCCTTTCGCAATGCATGTGGCAGGAGATGTTCCTTTCGCAAGTTCGGATCCCGGCGAATTTTCCAAGTTCGGATCCCGACGAATTTGAGTTGTCATCCTTTCGCAATGCATATGGCAGGAGATGTTCCTGCAGGGCCGGGGATCAGAACCTGCCGTGCACGGTTCCTCAGACAATCGTAAATTTCGGATCACTGTGGACTACGGATTCTATAAAATGCAAAGTCCGCTGAGATCCGAACTTCCCGTGCACGGTTTGTCGGAAAACCGTGGACTTCCGACCCCGGCGTGCTTCACCTTTCGGGTGGTGCGGGTTCTGACTGTGGACTTCCTGGCAACCGGTGGATTGCCACAACTTTTCATTCGTGCGAAATTGAAGTCCGCCTGGATCCGAACTTCCTGGCAGTTTTCGACGTCGGGTTTGGGAGACAGCTTGGTCTTTCCCGCGCAGTCTCTCCAAGTTCGGATCCAGGCGAACATGTCGCTGGGCGTGTTTGCGGCTGGCCCGCGGGCCGGTAGATGTGAACACCGACGGAGCCGGCAACCCGAAATCGGATCTTGGGGCATACACTGCGTCTAATGCCATGGGTCGCACATCGCGAGACATGACGCGTTTACGAGTGTCTCCGTGCCCGTGTGTGTCGTCGGGCATGTGCGCGTGGTGTGCAGGTTGCGTGATGGAGGGGACCTTCTCGACACCACGCATCTTCGAGTCGATCTTCTCGAGACCACAGGCCATGAGTGCCGAGACGCACATTCGCTTAGGAGAACCTTTTCGTCCTTGTGCGAAATTCGTGCAGCATTTCAACGGTGTGACGACGATCCACGGAGCGACCGCAGAGGACTTCGACGAGGACCCATGGATGACCGTCGTTCCGTGCAGGGACGCGCATCTTGGCGACTGGGGCGAGGGCAATTGGGCCAGTATGGAGAGTCACTGCCCTTGGGCAAGCCAGTACAAGTTCGCGAATATGTTGGAGTTCGGGGACCTCATCCCACTGCCTGACGCCGTCCTCGGACATAAGTTCCTGAACCATATGCGGAAGCACTAAGCTGCATTAGCCGCTATTTCAGTCGCCTCGAGTGCCACAACGTCAGGTCGTCGTCACGAACTTGGGGTGGCTCGCGGAAACAAGAGTTGGTGGACTGCGCTCGTCGCTGCTCGTTCCTGGACCAGTACCCGCTCCGTTGCCCCGGGATTTCTCCACCAGCTGTGTCGTACTGCTGTGTGCGGTTGACTGTGTCCGGATCTGATTTCGCCAGAGTTCTGTGTGTCGCTGCTTCGAACAAGAGCAGGAAACTGGTCGACGCAGTTGTGCTCGTGTCGCGCAACGAGGTTGTGATTGAAGGGTCCAAATTCGTGCCGATGCGTGGGCCTGAGCGTGTGGATGGGTGGCCAGATTTGGTGATAGCAGGTCAGGCTCGAAACTATTCGTTGTTTTGTGAGGTTGAGGAGAAAGCAGCTGACATACGGGACTGCATAGGAAACTCCTTGGCACGACCGGGGGTGTTTGTTAGGATGAAATACATGTACGTTTTTTCGGAGATTGCATCGGTCGACGAACCGCAAACCCTCGTCTACGGATCGTCACTGAATGCTTTGTTTGGCTTCGGTTCACGACGTCGTCCCGGAGGATCCCCAAATGTCGCCGCATCCGAACCGGTCTTTAGTCCTTCTGTTTGAGGGAAAAGAACGGCGAGGGACGAGATGCGGTTGTGCTGCCTAACATGTCAGATTTGTAGGACTGCAGAGAAGTGTGAGACTCCGCGGTTGCTGGTACACGCTGCACCGCGCGCTTGTCGTGCAAATCCCTGGTCGTCGTTCGCTCAGTGACATGACGAAAGTCACGTTGGACGTCCGTCTCTGACGCCATCTCCTGCCATGTCGTGCCCCGACGAAGTTCGGATCTCGGCGAACCTCGCGTTCTGGCCTCTCCGTTAATTTGTCTCTGATGTCATTGGCGTCGGGCGGGCCGTGGGAAAGACCCATCACCGTGGAAGGATCTGCCCGTAACCGGTTTTCGCCCGTCCACCATCAACATGTGCCAAACATTTGGTCACTGTCGTAGCGAGATGCCAAAAGCACTCTTAGAGATCCCCGTCGCAAGGTCGCGCGAGCTTCACGTTTCCTGAAACCCGTTGGAGATCCCGGTTGGTGGGCCCTCTTGTTGGAAATACCGTTGGCACCGTGCTAGGACACCTTGCTAGGACCCCAACT